CATCCCAGACCCCAGCCTCTGCCAGCTGTGCTCCACCTCCTGGGCTCCAGATGCCCTGCTCACCGTTATCTGGCCTTGCCCCGGCTGGTTGGACGGCCAGGTGTTTGGGGAGTTTCCAGACACAGGGCAGGGATCGGGTTCCAGGCTCTTATCAGTGCGAGGCCGGCAGCTGCGGGGGGTGACTGGGCCTAGTGGGACCAGCAATCTGGGTCATGGGTGCACCCTGTAAGGCCCCAGATGCGTTCAAATCACCCCCGTTCTCCTCTCTTCTGTCTCACTGAGGTCTCAGAACCCTGGCCGGAAGGCCCTCCCCATTGTACAGATGGGATGACTGAGGCCTGGAGAGAGGCTGGGGGCTGCCCAAGGCTATTCGGCCAGTCAGTGGCAGACAGGCTGCTTCCTGTGGCTCTGCACGGCCCCTCGGACCAACCCACTTCTCAGAAATGGAGGCCACAGTCCCAGCCTCACAGGTGGGACTTTTAGCCCCTAAGGCTTAATACCCTTGGGACTGCTAGGGATCTGAGGCCCAGGCCGGGGCAAGGCCAGAGAAGGGAGGAAGGAAACAAAGATGGGAGAAGAGGAAAGAGAGGGACAGGAGAGGGAGAGAAAAAGCTGTGTGACAAGGGCCCTCAAGGGCCGTGCCCTAGTCTTCACTTCCCCTACACCACCGCGAGGCAGGGACCCCTGCCTTTCTCAGTCTGGCGGGCCTCTGTCATGCCCTCTCCCTATCTCTTGGGACCCCAGCACCACCCACTCCTTGGAAAGAAATTTCTCTGTCCCATTCTCTCTGTGTACCTTCCCTGCCCTCTTCCCTCAGCCTTGTCTGGCGCGGTCCCACCTCTGCACTTTGGGCAGCCACTCCTCAGACCCGGACTGTCCTTCCCCACCTCTCAGCCCTTCAGGTCCTTCAGAGCTTCTCGGCCCAGCCCCAGGGTCTCCCTCCTTGGAGCCACCCCACCCCCAACCCCACCTGCAGGTCCTTCCTACCCTTCGTCCTGCCCTACGATCCTTGGCCCCCGACACGTTCTGCTCATCTCTTGTTTGTCTGGGGGACTCGTTATCTCCCGGCGCCCTCAGCCTGTCACGCGTTCCCAGTTTGCGGTCCCAGTCAGGGCTGGGAGCTTCTTGAGGGGAGGGACAGTTGTCTTGTTCATCTCAGCTCCGTGCGGGCACGGAGCGGGCATGTTTGTCGACCTGACCCGAATCGCCGTTGTCGCGACACCCAGGGCTTCAGTGGGTGAGGGGGAAAGGGAGCCCCTCCACGCCCAGTCCGGGGCCACCCTAGGGGACCTCTGTGCTCCCCTGGGGCTGGTCCTCACATTCCCGGAGTGACCATGCCTCCCTCTCTGCCAGAGCCGCAACTGAGCAAATGGAGGCGCGGGGCTCAGCCGTCTCTTGGCCGAGTCCCAGGCATCCTGACTCCCCAGTCCCAGAGGCACAAGCCTGCAGGGCGGAGCCACGCTTTACATTCATCCAAAACATATTTATTGGTGGCAACCATTCTTCTAGGAGTAGGGGATTAGTGGAGACTGAGTAGGGAGGGACTGAGACATAGATCTTGGCACTCGAGCGGCTTCCCTACTAGAGGCATCCTCAGATGATGTATACATAAATGAATCAAACAGCCAGAAAACGACCCATCGGGTCAGTGAATGGCAGGGTGGTCAGGAAGGGAATCTGAAGAGCTGAGATGTGGGAAGGGATGAGGTGTGGGGGAGGGGCACCTGGGATGCGGGCAATTGCATGTGCAAAGGCCCTGGGGCAGGAAAGGGCTCGTGAGGCCAACGGGATAGGTGGGGAGCGAGTATGAGAGATGGAGTGGGGGAGAGAAACAGGGCCATGTCATTCAGCACCTGTGAGCCACTCCCAAGGACGCTACAGCCCCATGCCCAGCAGAAAGTAGCTGTTTCTGGCAGAAGAGGGTATGTTGTGAAGACTGTCAGGGGAGCTAAGCTCCTTGAAGAAGAAACAGGTCATGTCCCCGGAGTTGGCTAAGTCCTGAGGATGGACAGGAAAAGAAGCCAGGTGAGGACTGGTGGCCGGAGGAAGGAGATGAACCTGAAGGCCCTCCATCCTCTCAAACGCCCTTTGATCAATGCCAGCCAAGCTTCCTCTACCTGCCCCATCTCTCCTGGCCCCCGTGCACCTGCCCTCAACCTACAAATCTAGCTCCTTCCTCCAGGCCCCTCCGACACTTCTTCCCCTGAGCCCACTGTCTCCCAACACATGGGATCCCCCTCCACTCAAATGTAGCCTCCTCTGGGGGCGAGGGATCAGAAGACTCCGGGATGCCCTGTGTCTCACTCAGCTTGTGCTGCCCCACTGCAGGGACCAGCAGTGTGGGTTATGTTGGGAGCGCGGATCACCACAGACAAATAGGAAATCTGGACAGCACCATGGGGGACCGGCTGGTGAGTCTTTCGTGGTACCTGCGGGGCTCCTATCTCGGGGCTCTGGGAACCCCGCCCTGGACCCCTGCCTTCGTGGTGGCTGGAGAAGCCCTTCAGAGCCCAGCCCTGATGGCCACTTCCCACAGGATGACTATGAAGAGGAGCTGGAGATCACTCTAGAACAGGAGGACTATGAAGACCCGGACGTCCCCGTGTTTCAGGTGGAGGAGCCAGTGGGTGAGCCCCGTCTCTCTTTGTCTTGTTGGGATGAGGTGCTGAGCCCCAGACAGAGACGGATGGGCAACATGCCTTCTCCCTTCTCCACTACCTCCCCAGCCCCAGGGCCAGTTTCCCCACAATCCTGGCTGATTGAAGGATAAACAGAGTTTTGTTTGAAGTGATCACAGGGGGTGACTGCGGGGGCGGGGTGGGGCGGGG